CCATTGCTCCAATTGAGCCCCGAAGTAGCAAAATAGCCATCAGTCCAACCAAGTCTCGAACTATCCATAACCCTCAATCCAACCAAGCTCCGAACTAGCCATAACCCTCAATCCAACCAAACCACGAAGTGGCTACAATCTCACTTATTTCCCCAATAGAAACCCGCAACTCTTACTCTTCATTGCGATAGTCAGAAGTGTGGAAATTGAAATAGTTCTAAACTGATCGAGTTTTTTCTTAGTTACACTATATATACCTCTGTTAGGCGGTGCTTGGTGAGCACTTGATGTAGAAGACAATTTTGTTGTTGAACAAAAAACTTACAGTATTTCGATGGATGAACAAAGGACCATGTAACAATTTATAGATGAAATGAATTGCAATAAAGAATCGTATAGGCATGCGATAGTGTAACTCATTGCTCTGAGGTAAGTCTGAGTCCCACCATCTGCATCAACAATCAGACTCAGCAGTGGTATCAGCAGGAGATTGCTACGAACCTAGCACAGAAACCTGGAATGGATGCAATTAATAAGTCTGTTGATTTCGTGGCAAAGATAATGCTAACGCAAAAACAATATTTAAACAATATTTAAAAAAGGCTACTGAAAATCGTCAAGTACAATGCATACTATTCCATTTACATCTGCATGTATTCACTAGCCCTTTATTATATTGAACTGCCTGTTGTGAATATTGTAGATTTAGACAGACCATTTGATGATTGTAAACAAAAAAAAAACGAAAATAATTCCTGATTTTGAACCGTGCTTCTGCAATTAACTGTTAAATGAAAACTTACAGGACGAATTTCCGAACCATTTCCACTAGTTCCTTTACTTCAGGGCTACTCAACTCTACTGGTACCACTTTCTCTTTGTTACCATCAGGGTCAGGAGAGCTTCTCGCTGACCTTCGCTCTCCTTCATCAATTCTCCCATCTGCAAAACAACAGCGATTACTGTATTATCCTCTTTCAAGGAACAACATTAAATGAATATTGCCTAAAAATTTGGGATCTGTGTTAAGGCTCACTCGAACATTCTCACTCCCATTAAAAAAATTTTTTACACTCCAATTGATTCTTGCTTACAAAAGTTCAGGAATCAGTTCTGTATAAAAAAATCAATTATGAAAATAGAAAATACAAGGTAAAAAATGAATAACCACTTGTGACGACCTTCTCTTGCAAATAATAATTCATTATATCGATGTCCGAAGGCTTGGACCTTTTTCATCATTTATAATCATTCTGAAATGTAGATTTTATGAAAATATGAAAAGTTAAGTATTCACAAAGTACATGCAACGATAATTGTTACTATTAAACAACTCTAATCTATCAAATTGTATTTTCCTTTGCAGCAAGTTGATTTTTTAAATATTACCTAACTTTCTAAAGAAATGTGGACATTAGAATTTAACTTAAATATTCATTAAGGATGGAAAAATTGAATGACAATTACGCACCATCCCTTTTTGTAAATTGAAATGATATTGGCTAACAGCTCTAATCATAATTATAAACACAATTTTCTACGAGAAATCCGTTATTCCATCCGCAATTACGCTACCCCATACGCTTTTATCTCATACTGCGTTTAATGGAAAATGCTTACTTTTTTAGTGAAATCTATCACACAATTTTTATTTAACTTACAATACGTTGAATGATCAAATGCCAAATTCGATTTTGGTCATCTAAAATCTTGGTCATATGCTATATCAAATTTGGTTATCACCCCGCTCTTATAATGTGCCATTTTTTTTATTATTACATTATGTTTAAGAAACAGGCTAACATTTTGCAACCCAAAAAAAAGTAAGGAGTTCAGCTTTCAACTAAAATCTTAAGCAAGAGAAAAAATCAAAAATCAACATGAATAACAAGTTCAAATGATCCGAATATGATGGACTTTGATTTTTTCCCTTGTAACTACCATTTCTTAAAAATTAAAACAACACGGATTTTCATTCCGTGTTGTTTCAATTTTTATTTTTTCGAATTTCATTCAAGTTCGGCTTTTTAATCGCTGTAGCAAACACTGATGAAATTTCCTTTCGAACAAATCCATTTGAATTCAGTAGTGAAAGTCATTAACTTCTCCTCTGATGCTATTCTCTATATCTCGGAGTATTCTTAACAAATAATTATTTCATTACGTGTTATATGCCATGTCCTTACTTATTATTACACCTCGCACTGAAAAATGTAAACTTTGCATTGCAATTTATTACACTGTAACGTAATTCTCAAATAAAGAACACTTCCTTTGGTGGAGGATATCCACACGTAAAACTGAACATGCAAGTCAGCACGCACCGCGTCCACCCACACCACCAACCTCCAAAAGAAAGAACCATTAGCTTCTCTCTCCCACCCATTGTGTGGCCCTCTTTTCATTAGTCACTGTATGGTCCATCCCACGGTGTAGCCTTTTTCTTCCCTATCGATCAATATGGAAGCCTGAATGTGCCACGCATTGGTTCAGTCATATACTCCTTTTCTTGTCGGAGAGCGTAGGGGATAATAAATTGCTCAGAAATTAGAAAATGTACCTACCGTGAGGAAATTGTTAAATTACAATTTACGATTTTTAATTTCTTTTTTAGCTTCAAATTTATTTCATAAAAGATTTTTACTAATATATGATTAGATTAGCTTTTTACGTACAAGCATTTCTCAGCTATTCAAATTTAAGATCAAACAAAAGTCAGTAATGTTATAACTTCCAATTCTACTTACAATTTAGATTCTCTCCTACTACGATAGGCTTTCCTTCCTTTTTATTCTGTTATTCTCACAAATTTTCAAAAGTCTTTTTTGTTGTCCAAGCGTACATGAATAGTACATGAATATATGAATTTTCATTATATGTATGAAGGGCAAGTTTGTATACCGATGAGAATTGAGAAATTTTCTAAGGACATATAAAATCCGGATGATATCATGGCTACTAAAAAAAATAGTTTACTTCACGTTTTCGTTTCAGATTCTTATAATTCAGTGATGGTTCAGCTAATTCTGTTCTGCTTTTTAGCAATATTAAGGTTGAAATATAAAAAAACAAACGCAAATCATGTAATCGAAATATTGTATACCCAAGAAACAACCAAGGGAAGTGGTGGACAAAACATAGGATTAAGAAAAAATATTTGAATTATCGCTATTATTCCTTGCTTCGATTCATGTAAATGGTGCAAATTTTGGATCGTCGAGGGATTGTGCCTCTTTATTGAATGCAGAAAAACTTGTAGAAAGTTGAGTATCCGTAGAAGACTGATATAGTACCGAACTTTGCTTCAATAACCTAAATTCTCCCATATGGATAAGTCATATATTTAGCACTCTTTTCCTACTTATTTATTTGTTTCACACTTG